TGCAGACGACACCACACTTATTCGCCTCATTCAGGACGGTGACAAGTCTGCTTACAGACAGGAGGTTAAGGAGTTAGCAGTCTGGTGTAGTCACAACAACCTGGAGCTCAACACACTCAAAAAAGTGGAGATGATAGTGGACTTCAGGAGAAACACCCCTGCTCTCTCCCCACTAAGCATCATGAACAGCACTGTGGCAGCAGTGGAGTCATTCAGGTTCCTGGGCACCACCATCTCTCAGGACCTGAAGTGGGAAACTTTGACTTCATTGACAAAAAAAGCTCAACAGAGGCTGTACTTTTTTTGTCGGCTGAGAAAGTTCAACCTCCTAAAGGAGCTGCTGAAGTTCTACACCTCCATCATTGAATCAGTCCTCTGCACATCAATAACTGTCTGGTTTAGCTCAGCTACCAAATCCAACCTACGAAGACTACGTCGACTAGTTCGAACTGCTGAGCCAATCATTGGTACAACCCTCCCTACTCTCCAAGAACTGTACTTATCCAGAGCAAGCAGAAGGGCTGCCAAAATCACTCTGAACCCATCACACTCAGCACACTGCTTCTTTGAACTTTTACCTTCTGGTCAACACTACAGAGCACTGTGCACCAGAACAGCCCGACACAGATACAGCTTCTTCCCTCAGGCAATCCATCTAATGAACACTTGATGATGATAATTGTGAAACAATTGAACAAACATTACTACTTGCTATACACTTTTTTTATACACATATGTACTTATTTAATAACACACTTTACATGCTAATTTGCACATAACAGCTGCTGATATAACATTGTATAGAGTAATATGGCTGTACATACACTTGTCAATTTGTATATTTGCATTTACTACTTACTTCTATTTCTAAAATATATTTATTATCTGTTTTTTTTTTGTCCTGTCTCTGTAATGCTGTTGCACTGTAGATGATCAATCACGAAAACGAATTCCTCGTATGTGTGAACATACCTGGCAATAAAGCTCTTTCTGATTCTGATTCTGAACAGGGCAAACCAACATTGCAAAAATGCTATTAGTTTTAGTCTTATTTCTATTAAAAATATCTCAAAATATCTTAAAAAAAATAATCTTAAATCAAGAATCCTTTTCTAGAAAAAAAAAATTTTGTTTTCACTAATAATATCACAGCATTAGGTGGCTTAAAACAAGCCTATATAATCGGTTAATGGGGTAAGTAAAAGGATATTGTTTTATGCTGAAATAAGATTAAATACCATTGGCAGATTAATTGCTTCTTTTAAAGAAAGAAAAATCACTTACTTTTGACTATTTCCTAAAACAAAACATTTTATTTAACTTATCAAGACAATGCTTCTTGATAGATTTCTTTGAATTTTTTACTAGAAAAATTAAGATGTACCCTTTAACAAGCTGACACATCAAGAGTCATTACATTGACAATACTTTCTAATGAATTTCGTTACAAAAAGTTGCAGTTTATCTTTCTTATATGCAAATCATATTGGCATAATACACTGATTTAAATGTAGGTGTAACAAATACATTAAATTACTAAGCTATGAATATGTGCATAAACAATGGGTCTCTAGCAGGGATGGGCAGTATTTATGATACAAGTAATTTAATTACATATTTCAAATGCAAAAAAGTAATTTGTAGTTTTGATAGGGTTTATGAGAATTGGTTTATATTATGTATTAAAATACTTTAGTGTCTTGTAGTTTTGTATTTTTTAAAAATATTTTCAAATACTTTGTGAAAAATCTACATGATGACATCATAAAAATGCAGCCTATGATCGGTGCTTTCTGTTTTTTGCCAATCAGTGAAAATAGTTTAATGCACAATGCTAGGATCAGTAGTATTTAACAGCAGTTTAGTGTACAATGCATTAGCATTTTTATTTAAGAAATGAGATGGAATTAGGGGCGATGCAGTGGCGCAGTAGGTAGTGCTGTCGCCACACAGCAAGAAAGTCGCTGGTTCGAGCCTTGGCTGGGTCAGTTGGCATTTCTGTGTGGAGTTTGCATGTTCTCCCTGCATTCGCGTGGTTTTCCTCGGAGTTTCCCCCACAGTCCAAAGACATGCGGCACAGGTGAATTGGGTAGGCTAAATTGTCCATAGTGTATGAGTGGGAATAGTCCTAATACTTGCAGCATAACTGAATATGAAGAAGTAAATTGGCCTTGGTGTTTGAGTGTGTGTGTGAATGTGAGAGTGTATAGCGAGTTTCTCAGTGCTGGGTTGTTATTGGAAGGGCATTCACTGTGTAAAACATGTCTAAATAGTTGGTGGTACATTCTGCTGTGGCGAACCCTAAAAAAATAAGGGACTAAGCCGAAGGAATAGGAATGAATGAATAATTATAGATCACCCTTTTAAAATATAAAACTGTGAAGACATAGTGTCAATTCACTAGCCACTCAATGATGGAAACACAACAAAGAGATATATATCCAAACTCAATATATGCATTACATGGCTTTTACAGTGATTAAAGAGAACATCTTCAAGACAGGACTTTCTATATGAAATTTGTACAAAATTTATATTAAAATTAAAGAGAAACAAAGATTTATGAATACCTACAGTATGTACAGGAGTAGAGGTGAATGAGTTGCTCAGAGAAGTGCTGTTGCTGTCAATCATTGTTTAGTTCACTAAGTCAGTTTATTGGTGAAGAGACTGATCCATTAGGCCTATTGATGGAAGGGTGGTGAAGACATTTCATGCTCCCTTGTAAAAGTATTTCGTAAAATATAAAATACCATATTTTATTTTGATACAGTTGTGGCTGCTGTATTTTGTAGTTTATTTTGATACACATAAAATTGAGGTAGGTGGTGAAGACATTTCATGCTCCCTTGTAAAAGTATTTTGTAAAATATAAAATACCATATTTTATTTTGATACAGTTGTGGCTGCTGTATTTTGTAGTTTATTTTGATACACATAAAATTGAGGTATTTGGTATTTTATTTTAAAATACACTTCAATGTCCCTGGTCTCTGATAAACATTTAGTAGTTTATGGATCGTCAAGGTTTCACAAATGTATTTTTTTGTGTATGGCTCCCTCCAGTGGAAACACTCCCTTGATTTAGTGCAACAATTGCTTGCATTGTTATTTTACAACAGATAATCCATAAACTTATACATATGACCTCAATAAAAACAATGAAAAAATGTATTCAAATACAATGTAATTTTATTAATGTTATATGTTAACAATAAGTACTGTTGAGTTGTAAAAAAAAAAAAAAAATGTTATCTCATTCATGTTAATCTATTTTCATGTTAATCTCATGAAAATGACAATAGTATTAGTAATAGTAACTGACAATGATATTGCAGAATAGCATAAAACACACAGTATAAACCATCATACAGTATAAAAGTGAGTTGCTAACTTAATACTTTATCAAGATACTGTTCTACAAAGTAGAACGCAATTTGATGTACCTACCCCTTTTTCAAGCTTAAAGATAAGTCCTTTGTGTCTCCAGAATGTGTCTGTAAAATTTAGAATATTGGAATTTAGAATATTGGAATTTTCTGTTCTGAACACGAAGTAGCTGTTTTTGTTGCCTGTGCCTTTGCTTGATCTCCCTGCCCACCCATCCGTCAGAGTGTGCCTCAATCTCCAACTGTGTCAGGTAAACACCACATTTGTGAGAAACACTACAGTAAGAACCTCAATGATTATTTGTTAAATGTCATGCTTCCAGATATTAAAAAAAAAAAATTATCTCTCGCTTTACTTACAGTATATAGACCCCCAGGATCTATATACCCCTATGTCAATTTTTCAAGAGTTTTCTGATTTTATTTCTGACTTATTAGTTAAAACTGAAAAGTCTGACAACTGAGTCATCAGGCCGTGAATTTAAGATCAGTTCAGTTATTAATTGCAATACTACATTTGTTGTATATCGACTGGAATGTCTGTGCAGATGTTTTTAAATAGGAGTGACTAATTAAAATTTAGATTAGTGGAGCATAAACATGCGATACGTACCTGTAATCCATAATATCCAATGGCCCTACATTATAAAAATTAAGGTTACAGCAATCCCATTTCATTGAAAACAGTTGGTATTTTACATATTTATAATTCTACAAGATATAATGCCCTGGTAGACCTGTCATGTCCACTAAAGACGAATTTACAAATAACTTACCTGATGCTTCTCTATTTCGAAATGCAAACAGAAATGACCTTAGTAACTAGCAGTATGGATGCTATCTTTACTAACACATTGAATACTGTGACATCCATTAAATTAAAAAATACAAAAAAAAAAGTCTTTAGAATTGTGTACAAAGATAGTATGTCCTGCTATAGGAAGGCTCTAAAATTAGTCCTGTTGATAGGCGGTTGTTATTTAATTTAGTGGGCAGGGAACATCACTCTTACATCATGTTGCGTTGGGTCTCAAAGTGAGAGAAATTTGGATCCTATTTTAACATCAGGGAATTTTAAAAACAGAGACTTATTGACTTAATATCACTTCAACATGACTGTGGACACACTATACCTACACACAGTTCTTTACAACTCTTTGTAGCCTTACAAAAGATGATTTTCATCATAGGTGCCTTTTAAAATTATTCTGTAAACAAACTGTGTATAAATATACAAACTAAGTCAATGTACATTTTGAAGTTACTAAGGGTTAACTGGTTTCAAGTAAAGTAACTAAGGCCACACTTTATTTTGATGGTTTGTTTGTTGAATTTAAGTTACATTGCCTCAACATACCAACTATACCTCAGAATATTAAGTACTGTTAGGTTGGGGTTAGAGTTAGGGTTAGAGAAAGTTGACATGTACTTGCAAAGTTTCTTATGGTCAGTTAAATGTCTGTTCAGCAGCAGTATCAAAAGAGATTAAGCAGACAGTCTACTGATAATTAAATAGACCATCAAAATAATGTGTTACCATAACTAACCACTGTTTTTAGTTTATGAACACTGAGACAATTCTGAAAATACAGTACAGTACAAGACACAAGCTGACATTCCTCTATTTCTTTATTAACTGCTGAAGCATTGACAGATCCTGCTTGAAACAGGCACAGTTCAGACATGGAAAGGTGTTCATTTTTTACTATTAATATTATATTTTATTTATGTGATGCATATGAAAGCAAAGTCCCAAAATAATATTTTACCTGTCAGACAGAGCTTTGCACTGTGGATATATAGCTTTCATGGCTATCTGGTGTCTTATTTTTCCATAAATAAAATGTTCTCCTGTGAAGGCTTATTGCTGATGGACGCAGAGCTGCCAGAATAGCTGGATGCGCTTTCAGTACAGGCCTCAGAGTGAATAAAATCAGTATTTGAACACCCTTTAGAAATGGACAGAAAGTTCATAGAGTCACAATTTTGTGTTCATTTCCCTAGCACGGGCACCTTTATGACAATAACAATATCAAACTGACATTGTTGTAAAAAGATTGTAAAAAATGCTAATTTATTTGATAAAAAAATTGACATCCAAAAATGGCGTTTAAAAAAACGAAACAAATTTTTTTATTAAAGGACAGGTCAGTAATCGATTATAGACACCAATGTTAGATGTCAATTTAATGTCATTCCATTTATATCAAATCGGTTGGCATATTAACGCTTTTGGTGCATTTTGAGTTCTATCCATTTTAACACAATTTCCATTGTAAAAACGCTATAAAAGTAAAGATGAGTTGTTTTAATACATTTGTGTACAATAAACATACCTGTGTTGTGTTTAAGACACAGAAAACCACAGTCAGAAGAAATTGCAGATATGAATCACGGACGATGAGCAAAATGTAACCGATGGACCAGGAAAGGCCGAGCATCACTGCCAGAGAGAAACTACTCAAAATCTTATTCTTTAGAGGGGTTTTTCGTGACCTACACATAGGAAGAGGTTTATCTTTGAAATGTTTTTTCTTTTATTTGATAAATGAAGCTTTTTTAGTCCAAAATTATCTTACCTGCCTAAGTTTGGATTTGTCTTGCAGATGTTGTGCGAGAAGTGCAGCAGTATTGCTGCGTTTGAGATCAGCATGAGCAGTAAAGGGAGCACCAATCCCCAAAACATGGGTTTCCCCATACTGAAGTTCAGATTGTGGTCTAGTGCAGCCAGCCAGCAACTGCAGGTAACAGATGTAAAAATGTGAATAAATTAAATCGTTAAAATGAATAAAATGTCAAAATACTTAAAATATTTGTTTCTTACAACTCTTCCTGTCGGTAACCTAATGGCTCCTTTACACTGTAGGTGGAACCCAACGAAATGCCAACAATAACGGCTGGCAGACCTAAAAATGACGAGATGCTTATTATACTGGAGAAATAATTTTACCTTTAGGGCTTATATTTAACTTAGTCCCTTATTTATCAGGATTGCCACAGCGGAATAAAGCACCAAAAATTTTTGACTATCCCACCACCGTGCTGGGAAACTTATGTCAATATATGCGAAGACTATTCAATCACACAGTTGGCCCAGTTTTACCTCCCACAGGTCTTTGACAATGAATTGAAAACATGATTCTGCCTACACTTTTAGAAATAAAGGTTTTAGAGCTGTCACTGCTGACCTTTTCAAAATTTACATGTTTGTACCTAAAGTATTCATATTTGTACAGAAAGGTACATTTTAGTACCAAAAACCAAATGTAAGTTACACAATTATATGCTGTACCTTAATATACCTCTTGCTTTTTTTATTTATCCAAAGGTACTGCCTCAGTGACAGCTCTTGTAGCTTTATTTCTGAGTGTGTATAATTACTTGACATGCACACATTGTTCATTTATTCATTTTTTTTTCGGCTTAATCCCTTTATTAATCTGGGGTCACCACAGCGGAATGAACCGCCATCTTATCCAGCGTATGTTTCACGCAGTGGATGCCCTTTTAGCTGCAACTTTTCACTGGGAAACACCCATACACTCTCATTCACACACATGGAGGAAACCGGAGCACCCATAGAAAACCAATGCGAACGTGGGGAGAACATGCAAACTCCACACAGAAATACCAACTGACCCAGCCCAGGCTCGAACCAGCAACCTTCTTGCTGTGAGGCGACAGTACTACCTACTCTGCCACCACGTCACCTGCACATGAGTTAATCTAGATAATGATTAGCTATAACTGAGGTAATTTTCCCTCAGTGTAACTGCCTACAAATACAGCATCTGGCCACCTGGTGCACAGACAATAATCTGCTCTTTAACGCCACTAAGACCAGGGAGCTTATTGTGAACTAACAGGCTCACATCATCCCATTCTCATCCTTCAAACCCACATCTCAAAGGACCTGTCCTGGACCTCCAGCCTGGTCAAGCTCACCAGTGCCTCTTTTTTCATAAGGCAACTTAAGAGTAAACAGTTGTCCTTAGTAGTCTTGATGAACTTTTATCGCTGCGCAATAGAGAGCATCCTGACCAACTGCGTCACAGTCTGGTAGGAAAGCTGCTCTGTTGCTGAGCGTAAAGCACTGCAGCGGGTGGTGAAACCTGCTTCACAGGAACCTCACTTCCAGCCATCGAGGAAATCCAGAAGAAATACTCTTGCACTGAGCACGCAGTATTCTTAAGGACTCTTTTTACTTACTCACAGACTGTTTTCTATCCTGCCTTCTGGCAGGTGCTTTAGGCTCCCCCGGACAAAAACCAGTAGACTGAGAAACAGCTTTTTACCCAGAGCTGACTATTTTGCCCCCCTCATACACCCCCACACTCCCTTCATAACCTATACTCTCTATAAGCAACAGTCACATTTAAAATTGTACACATTCATTGCACTTCATTGCCCTAACTCATCTTGAATTGTACATACCCACTGTATAATCATTTGAAATCATGTTCATATATATCTGCATACTTCTGATTATTAACAGCAACCTGTACATATATTCATCGATTGTAAATCTCTGATCATAGTAAATACATACTGTATGTAATGTTTATCTGTAAATATTTCCCATCGTTTTTCTATAATTGCACTTTATAACTTATACCTCTATCCTGCACTTGCTGTTGCACTCCTGCTTAGACCTAAACTGCATTTTGTTGCCTTGTACTTGTACACGTGTAATGACAATAAAGTTTAATCTAATCTAAAATTGCTTTTTCTCACTGGAAGGAAAATATCACAGCAGGTCAGTTTCACACAACTAGATGTTAACTGAGTTTTCGCACATTTGTGACCAATATACATAATTGCTGTCATGTGAAATGGTGAAATCAGATGGGACGTACTGTTCCTTTCGATCATTTAATATTGTTTACCAAACCAGAGAACACTTGTTTTAAGTGCAATTAGTTTATTTACATATTTGAAGCATCATGTAGATCGTTTCTCATGTATCTGGAAAATATTTGATAAGATTCCAGCCCATTTGGTGACCCCAGAAACCCCAAAAAGTGTCGGAAACAACACACCGAGCCATTGGAAAGGAAAATCACGAATCTATAGATCATTTCAATGTGATGTCATTGGTCCATGAACATTTCCTGCTTATTTTCAAAATGTTTCCTAACTGCAACAAGATGATGCTGTCATAATATTATTGATCCATATCTGGACCTTTTTGAATTCTCGGAAGCTATGAAAGTTAAAAATGCAAAACAGATAATAAGTTGGGAGGGCTGTATGGTGGCTCAGTGGTGACTCTGTCGCTTGCCTCACTGCAAGAAGGTCACTGGTCTAAATCCTGGCTAAGCCAGTTTGCATTTCTGTGTGGAGTTTGCTTGTTCTCCTTGTGTTGGTGTGGGTTTCTTCCGGGTGCTCCAGTTTTGCCCCTGTCCAAAAGAATCCGCTATACTTGAACTGGATAAACTAAACTGACCATCGTGGATATGAGTGTGTGAATGTAATAGTGTATGGGTGTTTACCAGTACTGGATTGCGGCTGTAAGGGCACCCGCTATGTAAAACAATAATTGGCAGCTCGTTAAGCTCGTACCCCTGAAAAATAATCTGAATATATAAGCTGAAAGTAAATGAATGAATGATTGAATGAATAAGACAGAATTGTTACTGTTGTTACTGTTAACATCCCTGGTGTATAGCTGGGGTGTCCAAACTCGGTCCTGGAGGGCCGGTGTCCTGCATTCTTTAGTTCAACCCTAATTAAACACACCTGAACCAGCTAATCAAGCTCTTTTTAGGTATACTAGAAACTTTAGGAAAGGGGTGTTTAAGGAAGCTGAAGCAAAACTATGCAGGACTCCGGCCTTTCAGGGCTGAGTTTGGACACCCCTGGTCTATAGCAATCAATGATTGACTCTACATTGGACTACAAAACGAGGCTTCCTTTGGTAGCAGCCATTTTGACAGTTGCATTTTCCCCATTCAAAACTATTTGAGCAACTTGTTTATGCTGTAGTCAGAAGGGTCCATTTTTAATTCAACAACACATTCATGTTTTGTACATATTTAATGTCTCCTACCCCATCCAACAGGCAAGGCGACCTTTGGAAACCATGTGGGTGTTCCTGACACTTGGTTTTTGAAGAGGAGGAACACATTAAAACCATACAGAGTGTTCCAAGTGAATGTAGCCAAGAGGAAGAACTGAAGCAGAGCTGTAAACACCGTACAGGGACCTTGGTCTGGGTAAGTGTGGTAGTCAGACGCAGGAACTATGTTTTGGGTAGACTTTGCCACAGTCAGATGTTTGACAGGGTTGTTTATGCCAAAGATAAACAGCAGGTAGAAAACCATCATGCTTATGCAGACGTTCACCACTAGTAGAGTAGGGTTGGTTCCTCTTGACTTCCTGCAACAAAGGTATTATATAAAACAATGTCTCAGCAGCTGTGTCCTTGATAGACTGGGAAATCAATAAGATTTTACCTGGTTATGATTTGGTACACTGATGTTACAGATAGACCCACTACAGACAAAGCACAGCCGATAATGCTGATCCAACTCAAGGCTTCAGAATACTGATAGTTGATATTAAAGGACTGCAGAAAATGCAGAAAATTCTGGTGTTAATGGACTTCAATTCACAGCATCAAGAAATTAAATAGTTGTTTGTTAGTAAATAGTTCTTTAACCCTTTATAGAGCACTCATTAAAATAGCCATTGGAAAAAAATCTGTGTGTTACTGTGGGTTATTACAAAACTTTGGTGAAAAAAATATTATATTGAAATCGTTGTAAATTAAAGTAAAATAAATAGTTCTTTGCCAATTAGGATTAAGGAGCCTTTTGGAAAATAGAGGTTCTGTATTGGCATCATTTGTTCATTGAGATCAATTGATGTCAAATTTAATGTTGAATTCACTTAAAGGTTCTTTTGGGAACCAAAAGTAGACTTTCTACACTTAACTAAATAGCATACTTCCAATGTCACAGAACAATTTTTGGTTTCCCAAAGAATACTTCAATGAATCATTCTTAAAAGAGTTTCTTAATCTACAGGAAAATTTAAAAAAAAACGACGCCCCCACTTTTTGAACATAGTCATGAAAATGTTGTAGCCTAAAATTGACAGAAAATCAAAGCTACATATCTGTACAAAGGTTATTCTAAATTTTAGTTTGATATGTCAAAGCTTTCGGTAAGATTTTGTTTGGCTGCAGTACCTGACATGACTACCAGACAACCTCCAGATTTCATTGGTAAACATACAAGAGCAAGCCTATGATTGCTCTATGCTTAGACTACAATATTATGGTTTAAAATTAAACAGTAAATTAGGCTTGCTCTTGTATTGTATGTAAAAAAAAAAAAAATTAAAAAAACTGGTAAAATGTTTATACAAAAGTCTTGGACCTTTCCAACGATATTTAGTTTGATGTGATTGAAATAGAATTAATGGCAAAAAAAGTTTGCAAGTATTTATGGAAATTAGTGTCCCGGTGGTGGGACAGTGACAGTTAAGGGGTTCACCACTATTAAAAAAACATTTTGTGGAATTAAAAGGCTATTGAAGACACTTCACTGAAGCGTAAATGCCAAGAAAGAACCTTTATTTTTAAGCGTGACTAGTTACATATTATTTGTGTTATTTTGTGGAATTACAGGGAAAAATACAAAACCTTTGTTTTAACTGGCCATTTAAGTCAAGTAATATTTAAATCCTTCTCTTACCATCAGAATGGCGAAGTTTGTCTTCACAGTTTTAGGTAAACATCTGCATTCTGCCTGACCTGATGGGCCTGTTGTTTTGAAGCAGCCATCTGGGCTCCAGTCATTTTTAGAGTAACTCCAAAATACACATGCAAAGTCATTAAGGGACATTGTGGAATCTGCCTGAAAGGTTAATTAATACACACACATGTCGACCTATCAGTTTCAATTCTCTATCAGTGGTATGTGAGAATTAGTTGAAATATGGTATTTCATTCATTCTATTTTCATTAGTACTGTATGCTAGGGTTGTCATGAATGCAAAAGCAGTCGATAATGAAATTTTAAACACGTCCATATATCGTGAACATTTGAGTGCTAAGTGCATTATTAAACTGAGTTGATTTGCCATTGTGTCATTACTGTTTACTGAGTGTAACCACAGATACAGGGACACTGAAGCATTTCAAAATCGTCGATCAGTTGGTTTGTCTAAAAGCTGACATACAGTATAAGCGATTCGCTAATGAATTGCGGCTTTAAAATGCTCCAGTGTCCCTTTATCTGTGTTTACACTCAGAAAACAGCAGTGAGTTTGGTGAACTGAAGACAGTCACGGCCAATCACAGTCATTTCTGTTGAGCATGTGAACACAATGGCAAATCAGCGCTGTTTACTAACACTTTTGACAGCACTCAAATGGATGCTTTTAACATTTTAGTACAGATTGGTACTAAATACCAGTATCGTGACAACCCTACTGTATGGCACAAATCACAAAAGGGTACCCAAGAAGGTAATGAAGGTTAGACTAGCTTCTCACCGATTCTGTGAATGTAAACTTAATTTGATCAAGTTCAGTAATTTCTGGAAGGCTGGCAGATATCACTCTTCTCTTGGTATCAAGAGTAGGCTGAAAGCTGTTTGACTGGAAGAACCGATCATTGTCATAAAGGACGAACCCAATATCTTTATTGAAATCTACAAAAGAGCAAAATGTAATAACAGACATCCCTCTCAACAGATCCTTTAATGTTGAAATGCCTCCCAAATTAAGTAAAGAAAAAAGTCAAAATTAAGCCTTGCCTTGATTAAATGCGATGTTCATTTGAAGGTCTATTACATCTTTGAAAATCTCAGTCTGTGTTGTTTGTAGTTTAATTCGGTCAGGTAAAAAGTTGTCGCTTTGACCTGGAGCAATAAAGGTAAATATGACTGTAAGTAGCATGTTAAAAATCCAACCCCCTGTTCATTAATTTATTAAGGTTCTATTCATCCTTATTTTCTTGTAAGATGTATTTTTAAACTCCAAATAGGATTGCACATCAAATCAAAATAAAATCAAAATCGTAATTTAGTTCTGTGATCAGTAGTAAATATCCTCCAAAGGCCAGAGGGTACTCTTTGCAAGGAACCTGCAAATATGTCCTAAAGCCATAATAATTAAGAGAATTTTAAAATTTAAAAAAGCATACACAGCGGCCTCTGGTAAGTTTGCGAAAACAAAAACTGCAAAAAAAAAAAAAAAAAACACTCCCTGGGACTTATTTTGCGCTCTTTATAAATGTATACGTGGTACATATCCATAATGAGCCTGGGTAGTGCATTCAAGTCCTCCTGGGACGTTCAAACTTATAAGTTGACAAGTCAATGGAGGAGGGTTTGTTAACTATTACAAGACAAAAGAGCAGGGTTTCTTAACTCTGCTTATAGAAATCGAAGATAAAATTTTTTTTGCATCAAATGTGTTTCTTCAATTATATCCTCGAGTTTATTTTGCATACAATAATTGTACCCACTGATCTATATCTAATAACATATATTTTATATATTAACGCTTTTTATATATAAACGCTATCTCACGGATTTTAGATTTAGTGGGTAATTCATATGAATTCATTCAGTATTATTCGTACAATTTAGTATAATTTGCTCATCCACTAATGACGGTTGGGTTTAGGGGTGGGGTTAGGTGCCATGCCTCCTTTTAAAAACCATAAATCATATACAGTTTCCCACTCTTAATAATAATTTGTGGTGGCGGTTAACACTTGAATGAAATTTTCCAACTTAAATACACTATCTGCCTCTGTGTAGTAAACACTGCTCCATCTAAAAGCAGGTGCTGGAGATTTACAGCTGATTACAGAACTGGTATTACTGACAAAATGCACATGAAAAATACCCTCGATTAATCGTGCAGCCTTACTATAAAATCTTCACACACTTGCCTTTAAAATACGTTAATTGCACGTGTCGGATTGCCGTTTGCCCCTTTAGTGACTGCATTGCGATATTCGGTTGCACCAACAGTGGACTGGAATTCTCACTTAAAGAAATTTTCTGAAGAGTCTGCGTTAGTCTGAACAAACACAATTAAGCAAGTCAAAAAAAAGTCCATGTGAATGTTGTATATGAAATGGTTCTGTATGTCGTGCAATGATTTGTTACAGGGAAACTGCAGAACGGCTGACTGAAGAGAATATTTCTTCCCTTGTGCTTAGGAGTTGACTGACCGTGGCCACTGCTGATACAACAATATCATTCTGGTCCTGTGAGGGAAATGAATGAGAACGGACAACAAGAAGCTAGAACATCCATCTATACATTCTACACATAGAGTTTCACAGTTTCAAGACATATTTGAGTAATATATGGACAAATCTAACAGGTGGATTACATTTTTTACATTTATTTGTAGCCCGACAGTTGCACTTTTCCATATTTTACCCCAATTTGTCTAGAAACAGCCCAGCCTTTTTAGATTAGGAATGAAAGTGAAATGATTTAAACTTGAAGAGTTAGTTCTTCAACAAATGAAAATTACTCACACTTATGTTGTTCCAAAACAAACATTTTATTGTATCCCATACTTAACGCTTTACTGTATTCTATACATAACTGATGCATTGCTTTAAAGTAGATGTGTGATCAGTTGTAGTTATATCAGTCACTAAGGAATGTTAAAATGCATGGTTTTTCAGTGTGTGCAGTAGGTATGGAGATTAACGTAATGGAAAAGTTATGTGGCTCACAATATACAATATGCTTTGAATGCATAAATTAATATTTACAAAGATTACAATGGAGAGCTCCAAGTGAAGTTGTTGGATTTTGTGTGTAAGAACTGACTTTGCTACTGAAACCTGTGAGTTGCCACTTTTCAAGTGTCACTCTCTGATTGACGTTTTCACTTGGATTGACACTATTATGTTAAGTACTGCTGGCCCAATTGCATCTCCCACTTGTTCTACTCAGAGCTGCTAAATGTTTTCTTTTACTGCATGGAATGATGCAAAACAGTTTGGTAAAGGTGTGCTGATGCTTTTCTGAGTGCTTTGGGTGTTGTGCAGAGAAATCAACACACTTTTTATACATCATTAATTTTCTTTTCGGCTTAGTCCATTTATTAAATCTGGGGTCGCCAAAAGCGGAACAAACCGCCAACTTATTCAGCACATGTTTTATGCAGTGGATGCCCTTCCAGCTGCAACCTATCCCTTGAAAACCCACCTATACAAACTCATTCACGCTCATACACTACGGACAATTCAGCCTATCCAATTCACCTGCACCGCATGTCTTTGGACTTGAGGGGGAAACAGGAGCACCCGGAGGAAACCCACGCGAATGCAGGGAGAACATGCAAACTCCACACAGAAACGGCAACTGACACAGCCGAGGCTCGAACCAGCGACCTTTTTGCTGTGAGGCGACAGCACTACCTACTGCGCCCCTGCGTCGCCCTTCAACACACTATGCCAAAGATATTTTTCGTCTAATGCTGATTGAATGGGTTAAAATTGCAATACTTTAATTCATCTGGTAAATGATCCAGCATATAGGTTGTTCTTAAAGAGCATGGTCATGTTTCACAATGATTGTTTTCTGTTATAAATCAGAATTCAAAAATTGCAACAGAGGCTCACTGTGAAAACGTACCCCTGTATACATTTCTAGAGAACCTGAATTATGTAGCCAGAGCTATGTATGGCTGCATATCATCTTTAAATAAGCTACGGGGTGGGATGATGCCGCCGACGGCTTGTGGCTTATTTTCCACTGTTACCAGTTTGCCCAGTGGCTTGTTGCGTACATTGGTGAACTTGAGACACAAAGAGGAGTTGACAGCGACGACAGGGTATGAGTCTGACAAAGAACAGTTTCATAAAGCAGGTGAAACAAAAACAAAAGGCAAAAAATAAAATAAACAAGTAAATAACAGTGTGAGAATGTGGTAAGATCTGAAAACCTTGTAAAAATAAGATGACCGCGAAAGCCCAAGATTACTTTTGAAAACAGTTAATTGGGTTTAGAGAAGGCGGTGAGTGGGTTAGTCGGGGCTTTTGAAAACACTCGGTTAAGAAAAGGGTGTGGTCGGAGCGATCAGTCAATAATTTGGTCCTTCAGTCAACAGCAGCCTCTGGTGGATTTATGCCTAAAGAGCAGGTGCGAATAGTACTCGCAAGAGATATTTGAGATCTGAAAAGTGATACACAGCGGCCTCTAGGGGATTCGTGAAAACAAAAAACTGCAAAAAAATTTACCTTCTGGGACGTATTTTGTGCTCTCCAGAAATGTATAGGGGTACACATCCATAACGAGCTTGGGTTGAAATTTTTTGTTGATATCTACTGTAGTATTGGGCTAGAGTGTGTTAAGCTCCTGATGGGGTGCCCGACCTGTTTTGTGATGAACTAACCCTTTAACTTTTGTTTTCCAACTGGACGTAATGGACGTAATGCATTGTGTTCTGTGGTGAACTAAGTCAAATTAGTATGTTATTTTATGTTAAGGTTTGAAAGATGTGTCTCTGTATGTGCAGCATATGAAAAATAACGTGCAAATTATGGTAAACTCTCAGCTACACACGGCTAACAACAGATATTAACAAGAAATGGTTCAACTTTGTATTGCTATTTTATTCGATTACACGTTTACTATTATAAATAGGCTCTAAACGCTCTAACTTTTATAACCCAAAATATGTCTAAAACATTTTAAAAGTAACTTTCTATAAATTGCATCTTTTATGTCTCATAGATGTTTAATAATAGACATTTTGGCTAAAACAAGGCTAAATTTGGCATGTCAATCTAATCTATCAAGCATCAATCAAATAAGCATTTATCAGTAGTGCCAAACTGGACTAGTTAATCAAATAGACAATAATAAATGGCTACATGCGTGTGAAGTTTGTTCAATCTGTCTCTTTGATGATCTATTTTTAATGACAGCCCAAATTAGCCCAAGATGTCTATTACAGTATTTCCCAGCAATGTTCCTAGAGGCACACCAACAGTACATATTTAGATGTCTACCTTATCCAACCCAATCATTTGAGGTTTTGGAGTCTCTTCTAATGTTCAGATGGGTTGATTTAGGTGTGTTTGTTTAGAAAGAAGTTGAAAATGTTTACTGTTGGTGTGCCTTCAGGAAAATGGTTGGGAAACAATGGTCTATTACATATTAGTGTCCTTTAAACACTTGTGGTGGGTGCAGAGTGGAATACTTTCAGGCTTAATAATTACCGTGGTTTGTTGGTTGGACAGCAGGAAGTGAGTAATTTTAACAGCATTCGTGATGTTCTGGGACGTCAGTCGCTCTGGTATGGATGTGAGGATCTGCGTACTGGAGGCCAAAACTTTTTTATCATTCAAATTAGCTCCAGGAACCTTAATTTACAAAATGCAATCAGCAATCAGACCTTTCTTTGTTTTCATACGATGCAACATGATGTACTTTAGCTATGACAATTCATTTGAGATCAGTACTTACATCTGCATTAATGCTGTCCAGGGTCAAATTACATTTTACTTGGTTTGGAGGCTCGAAAGTGCGAGTGATAATATTACAGAGTGCAGAGGCTTGAGGGATTCCAGCTGAAAAAATGGATCTACATTAGATATCACCTATGCTGTTGTTGTCTCTTGAAAACAAAGCATCAATAGAGCTGCCATTTTATTACAGGGCAGCGCTCCTTTGAAATGAATGTGGGACCAAGGTGCTGTGTAGGACTGGCCATCCAGAGCCAGAGATATATACACATATATACATACATTTATGATCAGGAGCTTTCCCAGTGGTCAGTATGCAAATATTTTTAAATATACATTCCTTTTTTTATATCGATAGATAAATGAACGTACAGAAATTGCCGACAAAGAGTGTGTGTGTTTGTGTGCATGGAAGTGTATTATCCACCATGTTAAATGTGATCTCATCCATGTCATGAAACACAACCCCTCCCCTGCTTTTACTTCTAATTCTAACGGCGGGAGCAGTTTGTTTGTGAATGAATCTCTGTTATAAACAATTCGCTTTAACCATCGATATCCCTTTGTCTCAATGTGCATATCCACCTTTCTGATTGAAATGGTATATAACATTTGTAATATTCAATAATTTAGGATGGACAGTCTGCACATTGAGGCGCAGGCACTGTTATGTTATCAGGCACCCTTATAAGTTATACTTCAAAAACTAATGTTCCTGAACTTAGCCAACAATAATACAAGTTTCTAGCATCAGCATCTTTTTGTCATACAGTATTTCCTTTAAATTGTTTGCAGATTTTATTCAACCAAACTAGCATAAGCCTAGAATTTAGTGCAAGTTGGTGCTTCTTTGCCTAACCGTACGTTCACACCGAAAGCGGCAAGAGCGTCAAAGTAGCCGGAAGACATTCATTTTCAATGAGAGCTGGCGGCGATAAGCGGCGAGGAGCAGCGCGGTGCGTCTTCGCCGGCGTGAGCATCGAGGAGAGTTGAAATGAAGTCAACTTTATGGTAATGAGCTATGACGCGGTTCGGCGGCAAGCAATCAGAATGAAGACGTCCATCGCTTGATAGCAGTTCAGAGAACACAGACCTGTGAACTTTGGTTCCGACCACAGTTGTTCCCAAGGGTTTGATTATTGCGGTCGCCGGATTTCCAATTATTTACAATTTTTTCCTACAGGAACATACATTAAATAAGTTACTGGCGAGTTACTGATGTTCATTAATGTTATATAAATTTATCTTAAAAAAGCGGGAATCTCACGCGATGTGACAATACAAAACAGTACAGCTGCTTCAGGATATTTCAGACATATGGACACATATTGGATAAATAGAGCAAAGCCACACCACACGCAACTTGATCTTCCATTGTTGTATGAATTTGATAAGAAGTGCGCAACATTTTCACGCTAGAAACATGTTTTATGCAGGAATGTAACTGATATGCTGCAACGGCTCCTTTAAATATGAGATTAATGTAGCGAGTTTTGACGCTCTCGCCGCAGGAGCTGAAGGCAGAGAGCGTTGTCGCCAGGGCGGCCAGAGCGACCTTGGACGCTCTCGCCGCTTCCGGTGTGAACGTACGGTTAGGGTGAAAGCAGTTACTGCATTATTATCAATAACGCGACTTTAGCACAAAAGTTCATAACATAAGCGAAATCTTACCTATGAAATAGTGTCTTTTTGCTTTGTTTTCTTTGTTTGATAATTACTAAAAGCGTGTGCAGCGCCAATGTCTAGCATCTTCAGATTGGCTTTAGTCTTTTCTTGACTAGTATGGTTAAATAACATTTGTCCTGGAAGCACTGTACAAATATGGCGGCCGTATTGATGCATGCTCATGGGCTGTATGCAATATCTAGTGTGCAGGTATATATATGAAAGATAAAAGATATTTAAAGTGTTTTAAATGTAAATAGCACGTAGTAAAGAGAGTGAAATACCATTTGGTGTATTTGATGGACACTGCTCTACTGAGGATGCAAACTGGCCTAAGACAGTTTTTGGAAAAGTGAATGCATTGGGTGTTGGGAATGTTTGTCCAGGGCAGAAATTTGCTGTGGGGGAAAAAATAAGAAAACACCATGCAAAGTAAGGTTAGTAATTTTGAAAAACATTTTTACACCAAAGAATCATGCAATAGATTTAATGAGTTTTTTTACGAATGTTGCAGGTAGTTCCAGTCCAACCGTCTGGGCAGAGGCAGATCCCTTTTTGAAAGGTCCCACTGTTTTCACACACCAGATTCGGGCTGGTTGCTGCTGCTGCGCTGAATGTTGTACTAGTCACTGCTGCGTTTACTGTTGTGCTAAATGAAGTTGTACTAGTCGTTGCCACGTTGACGGTTGTACTAGTTGCTGTTGTACTAGTTGTTGTTATACTAGTCATTGCCGTGGTGACTGTTGTACTAGTCATTGCTGTAGTGACTGTTGTACTAGCTGTTGTACTAGTCATTGCTGTAGTGGTTGTTGTACTAGTAGCTGTTGAACTAGTCATTGCTGTAGTGGTTGTTGTACTAGTAGCTGTTGTACTAGTCATTGCTGTAGTGGTTGTTGTACTAGCTGTTGTACTAGTCATTGCTGTAGTGGTTGTTGTACTAGCTGTTGTACTAGTCATTGCTGTAGTGGTTGTTGTACTAGTAGCTGTTGTACTAGTCATTGCTGTAGTGGTTGTTGTACTAGTAGCTGTTGTACTAGTCATTGCTGTAGTGGTTGTTGCACTAGTAGTTGTTGTGTTTGTTGTACTAGCTGTTGTACTAGTCATTGCTGTAGTGGCTGTTGTACTAGATGCCATTGTGCTAGTTGTTGCCAAGTTGACTGGTGTACTTAATGTTGTTGTACTAGTTGTTGCCACGCTGAGAGTTGCACTAGTCATTGCTGTAGTGGTTGTTGTACTAGCTGTTGTACTAGTCATTGCTGTAGGGGCTGTTGCACTAGATGCCATTGTGCTATTTGTTGCCAAGTTGACTGGTGTAATTAATGCTGTTGTACTAGTTGTTGCCACGCTGAGAGTTGCACTAGTCATTGTTATACTAGTTGTTGTTGTACTAGTCATTGCTGTAAAGGCTGTTGTACTAGATGCCATTGTGCTAGTTGTTGCCAAGTTGACTGGTGTACTTAATGTTGTTGTACTAGTTGTTGCCACGCTGAGAGTTGCACTAGTCATTGTTATACTAGTTGTTGTTGTACTAGTCTGTGCTGTAGGGGTTGTTGTACTGGCTGTTGTACTATTCATTGCTGAATGGGCTGTTGTACTAGATGCCATTGTGCTAGTTGGTGCCAAGTTGACTGGTGTACTTAGTGCTGTTGTACTAGTTGTTGCCACGGAGAGACTTGCACTAGTCATTGTTAAACTAGTTGTTGTTGTACTAGCCATTGCCGTGGTGACTGTTGTATCAGTTGGTTCCGCATTGACTGTTGTATTTGTGATTGGGGAGTTGACTGGTGTACTAGATGCAATTGTGCTAGTTGGTGCCAAGTTGACTGGTGTACTTAGTGCTGTTGTACTAGTTGTTGTCACGGAGAGAGTTGCACTAGTCATTGTTAAACTAGTTGTTGTTGTACTAGCCATTGCCGTGGTGACTGTTGTATCAGTTGTTTCCGCATTGACAGTTGTATTTGTGATTGGGGAGTTGACTGGTGAACTAGATGCTGTTGTTCTAACTGTTGTCAAGTCGATAATCATATTAGTTGTTGTTGCGGTGGCTGATGGGTTGACTGTTGTAATGGCTAATGCTGTAGAGTATGTTGTAGTGCTTTCATTATTCATATTTAAAATCTGATCCTGCCCAAAAACAGCTGTTTCACAAAGAGAAAGCATCAGATTAAAGTATCAAACTGCAACCAAATTCTGATTCTTGAATTGTGAGTACATTTGGTGTATTAGAAAAACATTATATTATATTTAATAACAAAAGCTTTATGAAATAAACAGTTTTGAATAACGACAGAGATTATGTCAAGTTATATTTAAAAATAATGTTTTTTTATGTGTATTGTTTTTAGATATTTTTGTCTTGAAAATATTAAGACTTAAAAAATATATTAAGAATGCCTCTATACCTATTTTGACTGCCTTCAGCTCCTGAGTTTTCTTTGTGTGTGTGTGTATTTCCAATACTTTGTCACCTCTATAAGGTGACTCATATTCACCTTTTTCTGCAATGTGTAAGCTATTTTCTGTAATTATTGTAGGACTTAGGACCGATTCATTTGCCTATGGGGAAATGACTAGAAATAACAAACGGTGGTTAAAGTTCAAACTACTAGCTCTACAAACAATTTGTAGAATTTGTGTTAATGACAGCACATAAAAACAAAAATAATCTAATAAGAAAACTATTTACCATCCTGTCAGTAAAGTTTCATGTTGGGTTTAACATTCATTCAGTCTTTGATTTTTGTATCCCATAAAGTTATCAGCTGTGCATATTTATGTTTTGCTTATAATATATTAAAAAATAAAGCTCATTCACTTACTGACATTGATAGATCACAGAGCAGAACAAGTTTTTGTTCAAGTTTAAAACAAAAACTAATTAGTTTTTTACAATGCACACTATTAGCCACTGGCTTAATCATTCTCCTTTTGCTTAGTCTCTTGTTTAACAGGGATCACCACGGTAAAATGAACCCCCAATTATTCTTGCATGTCTTATGCAGCAGATGCCCTTCCAGCCACAAGCCAGTACTGGGAAACACCCATACACACACACACACACACTCATACACTAAGGCTAATTTTGTTGATCCAATTCACCTATAGTGCATGTCTTTAAACTGTGGGGGAAACCGGAGCACCCGCGCCAACACAGGGAGAAAATGCAGACTCTACACAGAAATGCCAACTAGCTCAGCCAGGACTTGAACCAGGGACCTTCTTGCTGTGAGGCGGCAGTGCTAACCACTAAGCCGCCATGCCGCCCTACTGGCTTACTATACCTGCCTAATATTATAGATATTAACCGTTTAAAGAATGATCTTATTCCACATCCCTAATCCTATCCAATACCTAAACCCAACTACTACCGTGCAAACTATTAATAAACAGCTATTTAGTAGTTTATGAGCTAAATGTCCTAGATAATAGTTAATAGCATGAATTGTCAATCAATTTTATTTTTATAGCACTGGTAAACACAACCAGAGGTTGACCAATGTGCTGCACAATACACATCACGACAGAGAAAAAAGATAAAACTTTAGCTAAAACAGACAATTTTCATTGATAAAATGCCAAATCAAAGAGTTAAGTTTTCAGTCTAGATTTAAAAACAGACAGGGATGAAACAGATCTAATACAGAGAGGCAGAGCAATCCACAACCTAGGACCAGGTACTGCAAAGACCCGGTCACCTCTGCATTTCAGCCTCGACTTACAGTAGAGATGCATAACAGTCTCTGGTTAGATGACTGAAGAGACAGACCAGGCTGACGCTCAATCAATATGTCTGACAGATAAGAAGGTGCCAGGCCATTTAGAGATTTAAAAACCAAGAGAAGCATTTTAAAAGTGACTTGATAGTGCACAGGCAGCCAGTGCAAAGAACATAAAACTGGTGTAATGTGGTCATGTTTCTTGGTACCCGTTAAAGGCCTTGCAGCAGCATTTTGAACAATTTGTAAATGGGATAAGGTTTTCTGACTAATCCCAAAGTATAATGAATTACAATAGTCCAATCTAGTGGTAATAAAAGCATGATTTTTTTTTCAAATATTTTTCCAGATAAAATAGATTTGACTGTTTTTAAAAGTCGAAGCTGAAAGAAGCAAGATTTAACCACTGCATTTATCTGTTTGTCAGAGCTCAACCAATCATCCAGAATAACACAAAGATTTTTAACCCAGGGCTTCATAAAAAGAAAACTTGATTTTTAAAGATTAACTATCGGTGCTCTGGAAGAAATCAACGGGCCGAACAAAATAATTTTAGTCTTACTGTCATTAAAATCTAGAAAGTTCAAAGACAACCAAGCTTTCACATCTGACAAGCATACCATAAGAGTCTCTAGCCCAGTTGAACTTGGTTTTAAAAGCAGGTAGACGGAATTATACATCAAAATAATGACTGACCTAAATATTTAAAGAACTGAAACCTTTAAAGTTCCTAGTAAACAAAAAGATGGTTCTCCCATGGCATCAGAAATTTGTTTACAAATATATTACAGTCCTATTTATGCAAAGTGTTTTTATTTGTTTATAGTGTGTTGCACTGTACCTTTTTTTAGTCAAATTAGTAAGCTTATCTTTTTAGCAGGAATTACAAACCCAAAGCATGGAAATGCATCCAGAAAACAAGCAAACAATCAGTACTGTGAGTTGTACAAACATTTAGATACATAACATTTTTAGATACATACGCATTAATCATTCCTAAAACATTTAAATTGTTTATTATTAATTTTAAAACAATGTTAAATGTATTAGTGTATATATTTAAACATTAACCCTGTAAATATTGAACAATTATAAGAATTTAACCTTACCTGGGACAAACATTAAGAGCAGAAAATAATCCATTACACAGATATTGAATGCAACAAAAAAGTACTGTAAGACAAACTACTAATGTGAACAGCTCTTGTTACGGCCAGGTTTATAAAGCATAGTAAGGGTGGGAAGTCCATCAGTCAAGGAAGTAGCCTTACATTTCCAATGAAATTTGCATCACAGAATGAGCTAAACTAAGAATAAACAAGAAAAATGCAATACAATAATAACAGTATACATTTTTTTGTGACGTGCATTATACTAAACAATAGTTTGATGCAAGTAGATGAAAAACACACAGTTAAAGTCAGAATTATTAGCCCCCCTTTGATTTTTTCAAATATTTCTCAAATGAAGTTTAACAGAGCAAGGAAATTTTTACAGTATCTCTGAAATATTTTTTCTAGAAAGTCTTATTTTTTATTTTATTATTATTTTTTTTTTTTGGCTAAATTAAAAGCAGTTTTAATTTTTTTAAACAACATTTTTAGGTCAAAATTATTAGCCCCTTTAAGCCAGTTTTTTGATCTATAGAACAAACCATCATTATACAATGACTTGCATAACTACCCTAACCTGCCTAGTTAACCTAATTACCCTAGTTAAGCCTATAAATGTGACTTTAAGCTGTAAAGAAGTGTCTTGAAAAATATTTAGTCAAATATGATTTACTGTCATCATGGCAAAGATAAAATAAAGAAGAAATGAGCTTTTAAAACTATTATGATTAGAAAGAAATTCAAAAAAATATTCTCTGTTGAACAAAAATTGAGGAAAAAATAAACAGGGGGGCTAATAATTCAGGGGGGGGGGGTTCAGATTGCATTTATAATAGTGAACAGTCATTTATTTCAAAACTAGCATCACAAACAGCTTATACAAATAAATGAGGCACAACTGACATTATGACATAATAATTAGGAGATACAAAAAAGCTTTATTTGTTCCTATTGCTTGATTTGTGATATAACTATTACTGTACATCTTTGATGTTTGACACAGGGTGAACCTAAAAGCAGTAAAGAATAAATAAATAAACAAACTGCATACATTTTAAAATAATATTTTTATGCTCGGAAAGACAATTTAAATTCAGAATTTATTCTAAAGCAGTCAAGAGCATGTCTGGATTAATATATTTACCACAGCCACTGCTTGTGCAATATTTAATGTGAGTATTTGAGACTTTGGGCCCTATCATATACCCGGCGCAATGTGGCGCAAGGCGCGACGCCATTGTTTGCTAGTTTCAGCTTGGTGCAAGAGTCGTTTTGACATTTTGCATCACGCTGTTTAAATCGCAAATCCATTTGCGCTCATATGTGCGCCCACAGGGTTCTGGTCTAAAAAGGAAGGCGTTCTGAGGGGCATTGCTGGCGTGTTGCTATTTTGAGAAACTATTATAGATTTTTCAATAGACAAGAACAAAGCCGGCCTATTGTCCAGTGCAGAGCGTGTTAGTTGTGCGCCTCGCTTACATACTGCTTACAGTTTTTTACAATGGCTATGACACTTTTTTAAATACATTTAACAAGTTTCCTAAACTCTTAACACGGTTAGCACAACATCCATCTTCGTGGGCTATACAATTAACACATTTCTTGTTGCTTTGACACAAAATGCATCAAGTTAACACCAATTTAAAATGCTTGAACTTCTTTTACACACAAACTCAACCAAAACCAAAACAATGTAATTTTACAGTCCAATTTACCAATACTTTCACACAGTATGTCAGAACAGATAACATCATGTTCTAAACAGAAACTATATAGACTAAAGCCAAAGTAAACAGCTGTTCATACTGTCAATTGAAACACAAATATATTCCCTGTATATGTGTATATATATATATATATATATATATATACATACAGACAGAGTTCTGTAATGTGCTCACTGTTCCTTTCAAAAACCTCATGAATCCTCTTTTTGAACATACAGTATGATTATGTGATTTGAAAAACCAAACCACATAAGTGTGGTTTCTAAATGGGAATCAGCTGCCATATATATATATATATATATATATATATATGACATCTCCCATATGAACATGATTTCCATCTAGAAAGCACACTCATGTGTTGATATTTTTCAAATCACATGATCATACTGTATGTTTTAAAAAAAGGACTCATGAGGTTTTTGAAACGAACAGTTAGCACATTACAGAACTCTGTCACCAATACGTCCAGGTAAGGTTATACAATACGTTGATTACTTTACTATGCACAGTGTGTTTTGCAGTGAACTACTCTATAAACCTGGCGTTCAGTGCATGCATTAGTTATACAG